GTGTGTGTGTGTGTGTGTGTGTGTGTGTGTGTGTGTGTTGGGAAGATACAGAAAGAGGGGGAGAGATATTTCAAGCATTTTAAAAATTATATTATCATCAATTAAATAATAATTTTTTTTGTGATAGCAGGGATTGAACCCAAGGGCACTTAACTACTGAACCACACACTCAGCCCTTTTTATGCTTTAGTTTGAGACAGGGTCTCACTAGGTTGCTTACAGCCTCACTTAGTTGCTAAGGGAGGCTTCAAACTTGTGATCCTCCTGTCTCAGCCTCCCAAGCCACTAGGATTACAGGTGTGTACCACCATGCCCAGCTTTAAATCATAATTTTTCTAGTAAATTATTTTATATAATTTGCTGATCCAAGTCAGGGTGGACAACCAGCACCTATATTTGTGTTAGGTATTACTTTATAATTTATATAGCATTCCATTTTCTACTTTAAAATTAATCATGGTCATCAGTAGAGAAAGGGACTGGGGGCAGGGAGAGGGAGGTTTGGCGGTACTAAGGAATAAAACTGACCAAATTATGTGCACATATGAATATGTAGCAATGAATCCCACTATTATTTATAATTATAATGCACTAATTAAAAATAAATAAACATAGGCAAAAAAGTAATTATGTCTCAAGATTTTATAAGCTAGTGTTGAGAAAGTTTTTCTTTTTGGAATTGCCATCTACATTTTTTCTAAGTCAGAAAAAGTATAGGAAAGAACTAGGTATAGTAAACCCACTTTCAACAGGTGATAATGCAGAACAAGAAAGGAGATGCCAGTGTTGTTAGGATCTTGAGAAACACCACGTGAACATCAGATTTGGGGTTGCTTGGTCTTTATTAAAGTTTGCATCAAGGGAGTTTCACAAGATTAAATCAGGAGATTGAGTACACTCAGGGTTTTGACTAATTTGATGTAATTATTACTAACATTGCCCGGATGAGGTGACTATGACTTAATTGCAATTGGAACCATCTGTCTTGCTTCCCCTCAGGCCCCCATGATGGCCTAGGTGTGTTATTCCAGCTCCTTTGGGACTAAATACACTCATGCCTTGCTCCACATACCCCCTTTGACTTGAAATATTTCTCAACAAGAAACACAATAGAATTTTATTCCTCCTTGATTAAATGGAGTTATAATTGCAAAAAGGAAAATCCAATGATCAATTTTAGTTTTAAAGCTAGAAAAGGAAAAAAAGATGTTATTATCAAAAATGAATTTGGAAAGAATTCTTTAAAACACAGCCAGGGTGAAAGTATTTTTGGAAAGCACTGTATTCTATTTGTATGCATATTTGTATATAAAAAGTGTCCTCCCTCTGGGGCAGGGAGGTGGGGGCTGATGACATTGCCTCTTGTGAGGTTCTGTTCTACATTGCAGATGCTGGAGGTGACAAAGCTCAGTGGTGATTCAATCCTGCTTTTCTGTTTAGACCTGGATCTCATTCCAGTTTAGGCTTCTCTTTCTCTTCTTCCATACCTAGAAATACAAACAAAGTTCTTTATTTGGGCATCAGATTAAACTAGGATCAGATGTGTCAAAACTGCTCACAAAACTCTCATCTTCCCACCTTCCTATAGACTGCTCCCCCTTTTTCTCTTAACGGAAAAGGAAAGCCATGTACAACTTTTCCCAGAAACATCCTCAGTCACTTCTTTCCACAACCTTTCCCTGAATCAGGACACAACACCTCTGGGGCACAGCCAGCTCTCTCTCTTCTGTGGGTGAGGAGCACCCATTGATTCTTGATCCATTGAGTTTGTGTGAAAACCCCAACCCGACCAACAGAAGCTGTGCAGCTGAGGTATTTCAAATGGACTTCATTTATTTTTATTCTAGTCCTGTTTCTTCCTAAGGCAAGGACTCTGGATTTCCAAGAGTTAAGACTTTAAAAAAATATATTTATTTTTATATTTTAAAAAGCTCATAGGGATCTTATTAGTCACAAGAACTATTTATTTCCATACCTGTGTGTACTTTTTAAAAGACATTTTTGCAATGCTAGGGGTGGAACCCAGTGTGTCATGCATGCTAGGCAAGTGCCCATCACTAGGCTACACCCCAGCCAAGTCTTCCTTCTATTCAACCTGCTGCTGATAGACCTACACTTTTCTTCTTTTCCTCCTGCAGAATTTGTGTGTACTAGACTAGTAAGATCTGCCTGTTGTTTTTGGTGAATAGCCAGCAACCTTTCATTTTCCTGGGGATAAATATGTTGGAGTCATTCTTATAAATTATAATCAACTTTTTTCTTTTGCTCCTAGTTAAACATTTTTTCTCATGTTACCAAATTTTCAGAGACTTTTTGCATGTTGTTTTCAATAGCAATGATGGAATGAAAGAATTCAAAATACTGCTTTCCAGGTTTTAGTAGTATTCTTTTATAAATTGCTAGCTCTCTGAGAGCAGGGCCCTTAATTGTATCTCTAGCATCCAATATGCAGTGTCTGTCTCATAGGAGGTACTCAATCGTCAACTGGATAAATTAAGAAACCATGCATATAAAGAAGGCCTCAGAAGACTGGACCTGCAGGAAAGCAGTAGAACAAAACATGGGCCTCCACAATATAATAAATCATAAAGCTCCATAGGGTCATAGAGCCCATATTGGCTCCCCACCAACTCCCACTCCCAGCTCCCAGTCTGTTTGGTGGGTCAGGAGGAAGTAGTGGGTGTCCTCAACAGTCTTTTGTGTTTGATTCTCATAACTCGGGAACTACAACACTGTTTCCAAATTACTTCTCAGATTATGAGAAACCTCATTTTGAAGAACAAGGACATTGACAGGGAGGAGGAATAGGGCTTCCCTGTTGGTAGCTAAGGCAAATAACCGATTCTGTTCAAACTGCACGCAAGATTTGAGTTCCAACTTCTGGCCCACATTCTCTGTCCGTGGAGAAGGTACTGGGGACTAATATGAACTTGCTTTCTAATGTCTTTTTCCTCCAAATCCTCTTCTGCTAATGGGCCAAGGAGGCAGCATGGTGGAATCTTCAGAAGCGGGAGTGGGGGACAGGGAGCATTCTCTGATCTAGAGAAGGAAAATGGCTCCCCACCTATTTTGGTTTGGCAGCTGTGAGATTGAGGTGAAAAATCAGACAGTTGTAATAATTGCTTAGAAGAACCTGGCGTACAGTTTCCACACAAAGCAGAAAGAACCCTGTCACAAAGCTGATGGTGGCTGCAGATGCAGGCAGGACACCAGGACAAGACTGTCCTTGAGGGAGGCATTTAGGTGTGTCCTCAGGCTGGAACAGGAGCTCCACCAGGGGTCAGTACTT